GGAGGGGAGGGGGCCTGGAGGAGTGGGGGTGGACGCGCCGGTGTGGGGGACTAGATTTCGAGGAGTGGGTTCCGGCTCCAAGAACATCGATGAGGCTAAGAGAGAGTCCGTCCAGGTTCCGGAGGCGCGGCCGGAGCTAACCCGGAGGCCCGGGAGGGGAGGGGAGCTAGACACCGCCCCCGCTGGCGCCGGGAAGCGTCGCTCCTTCTCGCTGACCTTGGTCTCGCTTGTCGCCTCGCCCTTGGCCACACGCATTGGACGACGCAGGGCCCAGGAGATGGACAGACAGGCCCCTGCACGGACGGAGACCTAGGACACAGGCACAGAAACTGTCCTAGCCCCTCCCGCTGGCTTCGGGGCACCGGGTCCTCCCCTACCCCAATGCCGGGGCCGTCCAGCCCAGGGTTAATGCCAACGAGTTCCACCTCCAGCCGCTCCTAGAGAGGCCGCGGCGCTAGCCAGCGGGGGGAACTGGCCGCGGACGGACACTTCCTGTGCGGGGGGGAGGGGGGTGTACGGCCGCAGCCCAGCCGGGGGCTGGGGGTCCGGACGACTGGGTTTCGGGCTGGGAGCGGTGTTTGGGGGCGGCAGGAGGAGTCGTAAAGCTCCTCATCTCCGAGGCCACGACGCGTGGGAGCCCGTGAGGGCCACAGGGCAAGCCGAAATCTTGGGAGGGGGCGGGGCCGCGGGTAGGGGAGGGGCCCGGCGAGCAGGAGAGGCCCAGGGTCAAGACGTCCGGCCTCGAGGCCGGGGCTGAGCAGTCGGGTACCCAGGGCGACGCTGAGCGGGCGAGTGGCGAGGGCCCGGGTCTCAGGGTACTCAGGCCGGGTCGCAAGATCGTTCACCATCGGCGCTGCACTGGGATCCGGCAGGGATGGAGCGGGAGGAGTCGCCGTGGGGCCTCGAGCCCCAGGAGGTGCAAAGTCCTGACGAAATGAGGATCCCCGAAGGGTCGCTCAAAGGTGAGGGAGGGACCGATCCTCCGAGAAGTGTACCTGGCAGTGGGAGAAGGGGCTGTGGTCCGTGAGAGGGAAAGAGGGCCGGGGACTTGGGCGCCTGGGACTTGAAGGAGGCCCCGGTGGGGGACTGGGTGTCCTGGGTCTGCCGAGGGGGGCGTGGGAATTTAAGCACCTGCCCAAGGGCCAGCGACCCTGCTTGGGTTGGGGGGAGGTTTGTGGCAACTAATGGACCAGATGACCTACCAGGCTCCACACAATCTGGGTTTTCTGTAATTCTCTGATCCTGCAGGCAACATGAGTGAGAATGAGGAAGAGGAAATTTCTCAGCAAGAAGGCACTGGGGACTATGAAGTCGAAGAGATACCGTTTGGGCTTGAACCCCAAAGCCCAGGGTTCGAGTCACAAAGCCCAGAGTTTGAACCCCAAAGCCCCAGGTTTGAGCCTGAAAGCCCGGGATTTGAGTCCCAAAGCCCTGGGTTTGTGCCCCCAAGCCCTGAGTTTGCACCCAGAAGCCCTGAATCAGATTCTCAGAGCCCCGAGTTTGAATCCCAGAGCCCTGGATATGAACCCCGGAGTCCTGGGTATGAACCCAAGAGTCCCGGATATGAACCCCGGAGTCCTGGGTATGAATACCGGAGCCCCGGGTATGAACCTAAGAGCCCCGGCTATGAACCCCGGAGCCCTGAATATGAATCTCAAAGGTCCAGGTATGAATCCCAGAGCCCAGGGTCTGAACGCCAGAACCCTGGATTTGAACCCCAGAATTCTGAGTTCAAAACCCAAAGCCCTGTGTTTGAAACTCAAAGTTCCAAATTCCAGGACGGTACACAGATGCTTCTGAATCCTGAGGAAAAGAATCCCTTGAGCATTCCCTTAGGAGTTCATCCTCTGGACTCCTTCACTCAGGAGTTTGGGGAGCAGCCCACAGGGGGCATGCCCCTAGGGCCACCTTTTGAGATGCCCACAGGGGCCCTGCTGGCTACACCAGAGTTTGAGATGCTCCAGAATCCCCTGGGTCTGACGGGGGCCCTTCGGGGTCCAGGCCGACGTGGTGGCCGGGCCAGGGGTGGTCAGGGCCCTAGGCCTAACATCTGCGGCATCTGCGGGAAGAGCTTTGGGCGGGGCTCCACCCTGATCCAGCACCAGCGCATCCATACGGGTGAGAAGCCCTATAAATGTGAGGTCTGTAGCAAGGCCTTCTCCCAGAGCTCTGACCTCATCAAACACCAGCGCACTCACACGGGTGAGAGGCCCTACAAGTGTCCCCGTTGCGGCAAGGCCTTCGCTGACAGCTCTTACCTGCTTCGCCACCAGCGCACCCACTCTGGCCAGAAGCCCTACACGTGCCCACACTGTGGCAAGGCCTTCGGCGACAGTTCCTACCTCCTGCGACACCAGCGCACCCACAGCCACGAACGGCCCTATAGCTGCACCGAGTGCGGCAAGTGCTACAGCCAGAACTCCTCCCTGCGCAGCCATCAGAGGGTGCATACCGGCCAGAGGCCCTTCAGCTGTGGCATCTGCGGCAAGAGCTTCTCCCAGCGGTCGGCGCTCATCCCCCATGCCCGCAGCCATGCCCGTGAGAAGCCCTTCAAGTGCCCTGAGTGCGGCAAGCGCTTTGGCCAGAGCTCCGTGCTGGCCATCCACGCCCGCACCCACCTGCCCGGCCGCACCTACAACTGCCCCGACTGCGGCAAGACCTTCAATCGCTCGTCCACGCTGATCCAGCACCAGCGCTCGCACACGGGCGAGCGGCCCTACAGGTGCGCTGTGTGCGGCAAGGGCTTCTGCCGCTCTTCCACGCTGCTGCAGCATCACCGGGTCCATAGCGGTGAGCGGCCCTACAAGTGCGATGACTGTGGGAAGGCCTTCTCCCAGAGCTCTGACCTCATCCGCCACCAGCGGACCCACGCAGCCGGCCGGCGCTGACAGGGCCCCATCAGGGGTGGGGAGGTGGCGGGCAGAAGAGAAGGCGACAGGGAGCTAGAGAAACTTTTAGAGAGGATGGTGGAAAAGCTGGAGGAGAATGGAGGAGTTGAGGATTCTAGAAGACGGGCAAGGGTGGAGGAAGTTATATGCCCTGGAGACTTATGGGAAATGGGCTGTGAGGAGGGGTTGGAGGGAGGCCAGACAGGCGGCAAGAGGCTCTGGGAGAGATCCAGAAGGAGGTCAGCCAAGAGCTGGCCTCAGCAGCATGCGCCTTGGTGGGTGCCTGGTTTGGCCAAGTGCTAGAGGGGTGGGGGGAGGGAGGGGGGGCTATGTAATTAGAGTGGCGTAGCTTAGGTTGATTGGTAGCTGCTGAGACCCTCGTTGAGTCAGGAAGGGGGTGAGAGGGTAGGTTGGGTGGGGAGTGTGGCCCTGGGGTGGGCTTGGGCCTCAGTGCAAACCCCAGCCTTCCTTCCTCAGGCTTTGGAGCCCCTGAATTTGAATTCAATAAAAACCTTTATGTGGTAAAAGAGACTTGTTCTTGAAATGTGAGTGTGTCCGGTGCCCTGGGCAGTGGGAGACAGTAGTCACAGCTGGAACAGCCAGTGAAGCCCTGGGGCCTTATCTGGATGTGGTTTTATATTCCATGTTTCAGTGGAATCTCATAATCTGAGGCTCAGAAGACATGACTTGTCCATATCTGCCTAAGTTTGTGTTTCATGCTTTGAATGCTGCACCAACACAGAGGGGCCATGTGGGGGAGGGGTGAGAAAGCCCCCAACTTTGTGGCGATTCCTCTTCCTAAACAGAAGGTTTGTCCTTGGACTATAAAACAGACCCTCATTCTCACATCCAGACGTGGAGCCCATTTTTCCATCTCTCCCTGGCTCCTGACACTCAGCCGCCCAATCTCCTGAGCTGGAACTTCTAGCCACCACCTTGTCCAGATCCTGACTCTAAGACTAGAGCCACAGCGTGTGGAATATACTAACATTTATAAAGCTGGGCTGGCCCGGTGGCGCACTGCTACAGTGCGCCGCTTGGGAGCGCGGCGGCGCTCCCGCCAAGGGTTCGGATCCCACATGCAGACCGGCCGCTCACTGGCTGAGCGAGGTGCGGGCGCAACGCCGAGGGTTGCGATCCCGTTGCTGGTCCTGGTCCGGTACGGGCGCGACACTGAGGGTTGCGATCCGTTGCCGGTCACAAAAAAAAAGACAAAAATAAAAAAATAAAAAAAAATAAAGCAATGTATTTCACAGGGCCTAACTTTTTAGAGTTATACATAGAAATGTTAAGCTTGTGAAAGACAGAAAACTCCCCAGGATAAAGTCTGTTGTAGATAAAGAATTGTAACACAGCAAAGTTGCTGGCTGTAAGGGCAGATGTCCTTGATGCAGCTAAACCTAATGATTGTTGCCATGACAATTATCTTACCATTCTTTTTGTAACCAGCTATGTTCCTTTTCTATAACTTTCTGGCCTGGAGAATAAATACTGAGAGAAAACCCTAGTTCAGGGTTATTTTCTGAGGAATGCTGCTCTCTTGAGAGTTCCTGGAAATTCCTTTGGGGCTTCTTACTGCTCAGAAGAAATGGTCTTTGAGTAATCCTTTGTGTCTCTGTCACCCTGGGAGAGGTGACAGGCTTAGTGGTTTTCAAATTATTTTGGGATGGTTTATATATATAGCTATATATGTTGAATAAACTGCAATCACTCACCTGACATGATGTTACATATATATATATATATATATATATATATAGACATTTACTTAAACATTCATTTGAATTCTACAATTCAATTTTTCATATTTTAGAGTTGATTTTTATTTTCAGCTCACAAACTTGTTTATAGGCCCTTGAAAGCTGGAAGGCCCTGGACATGGTGTGTGTGGTGCTTAATTGATAAAGTGGCCTGTTTACAGAGAACTCAGTATATAAAACCAGATCAAAGGAGGGTGGGGACTCAGCTGCTCAGACCCGCTCCTCTCTTCCATGACACTGAAGTACCTCCAGAGCCGAGGTGGAGTAACAAAGCCCAGAAAGGGCTTGTGTTTTTCCCCAAAGATGTTAATTACTTTTTTCTCTCTCCTTCTCTCACAATTACAGTGTTTTCTAGAGGCTACATGACATATAAGGCCAGATGTCATCACTCTGGTATCTCCTGTGGGATGTGGGTTTGGGTGTTTTTATGTTTTACATTTTCTCCACTTTAATGTCTAATTTGATAAATATCAATAGATATATAATATATATATATAATCCATATAAACACAAGTCCTTTGTGGATCCTCAGTAATTTCTGAGTGTAAAGGGGTCCTGAGAACAAAATGTTTGAAGTTCCCTGAATTAAATTTTTATGCAACATCTGTGTGCCAGGACCTCACAGTCTCAAGAGAGGAGCAGTCCTGAGTCAGTGCCATGAGCCTCAGTGCAGTGGAAACTAAGGGTTGATGGGACCAAGCAGATGAGAAAGCTTGGAAGTGCCTTAAAGTAAGGAAGATCTGAATAGACAGGAAAGAGGAGGGACGGAGTGTGCTGGCAAGGGGACCAGCATATGCAATGCACAGAGGTGGGGAAGACAAGTAGGTGTGTGAGGACAGGTGCTGTCAAGTGAGCTAGGTGCAGATTCCGGGACACGACGGTGGCAGCTCTTATTCTGAAATGGACTTCGCTTTTTTGGTTCTAACCTTAATGAAGATATTCACAATCTTTTTTTAGTGTCGTGGAATCTCACCTCCTTAGAGACACCTCCCTGACCACCTGTCTAAAACAGCCTTTGCCGTCACACCCTTGCCTATTATCCTGCTTTCTTTTCTTCACGGCCCTCATCACTATCTGAAATCACATTTTTGCGTGTTTACTCTGTTTTCCCCCTGGCACAAAAGCTTTCTGAGAAGGGAGACTTGTCTGTCTTGTTCACCATTATGTTCTCAGAACCTGGAACAGGGCCTGATGCAGAGCACTCAAGAAACAATGAAGGAATGAATGGAATCTGACTGATGTTTCAGGATACTCACAGATAGTTTCATGTACACTGAGTAGTTCTGCGATATTCCTGACAGTTAAACACTTCTTCCCTCTTTGGGAAACGGGCCTTACTTCTTCCTTCCCAATGTCCTGCTTATGAGCCAGCCCTCTGGCTCCCTGGGGGCTAGGTCAGGAGAGTAGTACAGGCTGGAGAGACTAGTGGGCTTTTAAAGATTGTTTTGGGTCTTGCATGCCAGGTTCGGGAATGGTCAGGTGCACCCCTGTAGGCAGAATGGGGCCATCAAAGGTCAATGCTTGGGGGATCAAATATTTCTTCTACCTTCCTGCCATCTACAGATACATTGGACATACCATTTTCTCTCTTCTCCCTGTGCTGGATTGGGAGCTGGCCTTAGTCACTCAATATTCCCCGGGGGTCCTACTGACCACAAGAGGGCAGCAGTGACTGGCTCTCTCTGTCCCTTCTAACGGAGGGAGTTAGGGCTATGCTCCTTCAATCATTGCTTTAAAAAAAAAAGTGGAGGGTCTATACACCCATCTTTTTTTTTTTTTTTCTTTTAAAGATGACCGGTAAGGGGATCTTAAGCCTTGACTTGGTGCTGTCAGCACCACGCTCACCCAGTGAGCGAACCGGCCATCCCTATGTGGGATCCGAACCCGTGGCCTTGGTGTTATCAGCACCACACTCTCCCGAGTGAGCCATGGGCCGGCCCCCCTGCTTCCCTTTTGAATGAACCCACAATGTTGGGCGCAGGTCAGTATCTGAGGGGCATTGTAGCCAAAAAAAAAAAAAAAAAGGAAAAAAAAAAAAAAAAAGGAAAAAAAAAAAAAAAAAGGAAAAAAAAAAAAAAAAAGGAAAAAAAAAAAAAAAAAGGAAAAAAAAAAAAAAAAAGGAAAAAAAAAAAAAAAAAAAAAAGGAAGAAAGAAAGAAAGAAAAACAAGAGTTGACTATTTTGGTCCTACTTAGCAAAAGGGTTGGGAAGGAAATATTCTTTTAATTGAGCCAGGCTGGAATGTTGCACCAGCACGAAAACATCACAAAATTGAATGGAATTTCACATTTATTGGCTAAATAAATGTAGGCACCACGCTTGGCGCTGGGGCTCCACATAGCCCCCACCTTGAGCTCACGGTCTCCCCATGGGGGCCCCTGAACCAGGTGTGTAGTCCTGGGAGAGGCTGAGCGCCAGGGGAAGGCAGGGTCTGGGAAGACTGAGCCGTTCCTCATCTTCCCACAGGCTCTGGGATTAATCCAATGACATTATGTGAAGCACCCACTACAAGGGTACTCCAGAAAGTTTGTGGAAAGACCCATCTTATCTTTTAATCCCATTTTTCCATGAACTTTTTGAAGCATGTGCCTGGCCCTTGTGATATCACCAGGGATCTCTAGGTGAGCAAGACAGGTATGTTCCTACCCCGTGGGGTGCACTGTTTGAGAGACAGATATGAAGTCAATCATTAAACGGTGAACAAATATGACCCGTGCTGAGTGGGACGAGTGCAGGCTGGAGGAGGTGTGTACAATGTGGGAACCCAAGTGAGTCGGGGTCAGGGCTGATCCGAGGAAACTGACATGTGAGCTGAGGCCTGAGGGCTGAGTGAGAGCAAGCCGGGAAAGCAGAGCGGGAGGAATGTTCCAGGCACGGAGGGTGTGGGGTGGGGTGTGAGTGGGTGGTGTGTGTGGCTCTTGAGAAGCAATGAGGTGGGATGTCTCTAGAAGAGGCTGGGGAAGGCCACAGAGCCCAATTTTACAGGGTCTTGGAAGGCATATTAAGGAATTTGGTCTTTGGCCAAACAGCAAGGCGCCTGCAATAGCTATGTAGTAACACAGGTCAGATTCGCTCTCTGGCAGCAGAATAGAAAGCTGACTGGACTCCATGCAGGGGACAGTGCAGGGACAGGTGTGGGGGTCTGAGGCAGTTGTGGATACCCAAGGGCAGGTGTGAGGGCCGGGAGTGTCACTAGGTCCTGAGACTACAGTTTCTCCAAATTCAGATCAGATGTTCTCTTCCAGGGCAGGAAACTAAGAGAGGCTGGTGGAAGCCAGGACCATCTGATAATTACAAGGCCACACTCTGTAGCCTTCCTGGCCCATCCCTCAGCAGATTCTCACCATGAGCCTGCAAAGGAGGCAGGCAGGAATGAATTCCATATTCAAAAAATAGGGAAACGGAGGCCCAGGGAGGGGCAGTGACTTGTCTGAGGACACACAGTGAAATGCAGGTCGAGGCAGACTACCCCAGAATCCTGAGTCCAGTCTTGGGCCCTCTGTACCTGGGCCTGGGCCTCAGTTCTTGCCACCTTCGTCCTGGGCCTCCTCCCCGTGAAGGGGTTCCAGACAGCCCGGATCCACGGCCTCTTCCCCAGATGCCAGCTGCCCAGAGTCTTCTCCAGGGATTCCATTTGGGACACCCCCATCAGCATCCATCTTCTCCTTCAGTTTCCGTTTGAAGAAGCCAACCTGTAGGAAGACAAAAATTGGCTCAGCAAAAAGTCTACAAAGCACTTCAGACCATTGGCCCCAGCAAGATGTGATAAAAT